AATTACACGTTTCGTAGGACACAACGATGGCACGAAGGACACGGCAAATCAATTCCCGCGTTGTAAAAGCCTTTTTGTCTCTGTTGGGATTCGTAGAAAATGCAATTCCACCGAATGTGCTGTTTATCAATTGTCATCGCACACTCGGCTATTCAGAGAACATATGTAACTCACGTAGACTTGTCATTCGGTGTTCTAAAATCTTGCGTAGGATCCTTTTAAGCCATAAAAGACCGGTTTATGGATAGATAGATACAATTTTAAGCTCAAAGAACAAATCCGTACACGCTAGGCCACAAACCTAGTATTATCAGGATGAGCTGTATGATACTTACCTCAATGGTGTATTGGTGTTGGTCCGAGGCCTGGTCATCGGATGCTACGAAACCGCCCGATGGCGCGAAAACCAGTACGAGGACGGGTCTGTGGAAGTCGTCGGCAGAGGGAGCGGGAATGTGGATGCTTTCGACGCCGAGTCCAATTGATGAGAGGCTGAAAGGAGGTTGGGTCGACCAGTAGACCGTGGAGGAGTTTACGTCCTCCGGCGGAGAGATTGTCTCCCAGGACAACGGTGGATCCAGCTTCACCATTGGTGTTGGTTGAGACTACAAATTGTGCAACGGATTGTGTGAAACCAATTGAACTGGAACACACGTTCAGCTTAATTGAACTTCGATAATTAAACATCTACGCTAGAACTGGCCCTCCATTGGGAAATATAATTTAATGACCTCTATATTTTTCGATAATCTTACATAACCAACAGTGAAATATAGAAAATACATTTATCATTTATCATCATTTACTATCAAATATGCGAAAATATTTGGTCTACAAAATTGGCGGCTAAAACAATAGCCATCCACCAAACACCTGGTAGAAAATGTTGACTTCAATGAAGACATACATTAGAAACAGAAGCCATCAGCTTAGTGAGTTGAGGAATGCGGTCTTCGAAGTATAGAATGTCATTATTTGCCGCGACATAGAGGTCTACATCGCTTCCATGAGGGGTCGCCTGGATTCTGACGCTTGAAGGGGAAAGAAGGAGAAAGAACTGCGCGTAGCCAGACCGGAGACGTCTACAAGGAGAGCAACCAAGCGATTCGACTGTTGATTACTCCAAGTAACATAAATACACGTGGCGCTTGTTTTCCACATTCACAACCTGCAATAAACTGAATGAAAGCGAGTGCCATGACCAGGAAAATCAAGTCCCAATGCTTTAGGACTAGCTTTGAGACAGAAGGGCTTGAAATTAAAACAAGCCTGAGCGTGAGGAAATTGGCTCACTTCAGACCTTACCCAGTAAACGACAATGAATTTGTCCCCCTTTCGTTTTTTTCAGCGTCAGGGACACTTTCCGAGCCACTAAGCCCATCAGCTACAATTATTCCAATTATGAGAGAGACAGAAACGAGCAGCTTGAAGACGACTAGACGGTCGTATGAAGGGTGTGGATGTCGCGGCGGTTGGGTATTTTGACTTGGATTCAGGTCGGGAGATGGACTGTGTCTTCGACGAGTAACGGTTTCCGGTTCTTCGGCCTCAAAAAAGAAGACAGACACGTCTTTCTGTTTAGTATTTAGGCAAAATGACTCAAAGGTGGCCCGTTTATGATAAAATACCAACCAGCAGCAGAAAACGATAAAATAATAAATGATATTCTTGTATAGTCAAAAAATAGGTACAATTGTAACAATATTTTCAGCCAGCGAACTTGAGAAGAATCCAACATAAAAAGAAGAAAAGGAATGCGAAGAGCAGTAGCTGACAGTAGAGACTGCAGGCGCCGAAACCTTCACTCCTTTTGATTAGGCCAACCTTGCGCATAGCGGATCGGAGCATTCCTTCTGAACGAGCAAACATATCTGATAATGTGCCGTCAAGGAAGGCATTCTGTTGGCGCACCTCTGCCCCAATATTTGTGGAAAGCTCGCGTAACATATCAACCTTGATGCAGAGTTCGCTCGCCAAAGCATCGTTGTCCTCTGTTAAAATGCCACGACGATGGCTTTTATCGGAAGGGGCAAATGCACCAACGGAATGATCCCAGTTTCTGTTCGTGGTGTAAGCAGGATGCATGGATTACTAACAAAAAGGAAAAGCAAGCCATTAATATACTTAAAAATAGTTGCTCGGTTAAGTTTATTTGCAGATTATTTTCCCGAAAAGGGAGTAGATTGAAAGGGGAACAGCCGGTGACGTATGAGTAGTTGAAATAACTTTGACATTTAAATCGGAACCAGACCAAACTGATGCACTTAAGAATTGGTTTACAGAAATATTCGATTCAATCGTAAAATAAAATTGCGATATTACGGTCAAACCTATTTTATTGTGTACAAACTTGTGTACATACGAAATTACGCGTCAGAAGAAGAACATACACACATACTTGAATTCCCTGGCAACATTTAAGGCCGCACACAGGCATTGGCGATTTGTTCAAGTCAAAAAATGGAACTTATTTTAACTAAATTTAGCGTCTGTTTAATGGTCGTCTTCATCTTTTACCGGTAATTTTCATCACTTTCGCTATCCTGGATAAATAATATTCCTGTATTTTGGAATTTTTCTTTGAATTAAAGTACTCTATTTGAATTGTTGACATATTTGTAGTTTAACTTCTCTACGTGAAACAATTTCTAAACAACTAAATGCCTGATACCTTTAACTCCGCTAAAAGCATTGCCTAATCCTGATATAGTTTCAGACTATATGAAAAGTTCAGAGCTAAATCAATTGTCCCCCATTAGGCCACGTGTGCTGTACAACTGTTAGTAGGTAAAATGGAAAATTAACAAAAGCAATAGAGACCCATTTAAAAACACCTTTCCATGGAAAAGTCCAAAGCATGGTGGTTGACCAACAATTGATTTATTCCGATAATTTAGCACACTTAAATATGAAGGCACGAGTACTACTTTTATTGAATTGCGATCTTGTGCATAATAACAGAAACCAATTTAAGACAAATACACCGATTTTCTCATTGGTCGTAGTACTTGTGGCCCGCAAAAAATAATTGTTTCCTGTTATGATATAGGAGTCTTCGTTCGCTTAATGCAACCCTTTTCAGTCACACTTTCATCATTCACTTACCATATGCTCCATTTGAGCAGACGAACTTGTTCATGCACTATTAGAAAAACATTAACTTATTTAGAAGTCGCAGTGGGATTGTCCTTCACAGTAAGCAAATCCGATACTTTTTTCTCACTTTTCCGTGTTAAGATATAGCAAAAGAAAGCAGAAAGAATCATGGTGTCTTACTTGTCAAGCTTACTACCAAACATCATGTGTAATCAATGATAGGTTAAAAATAGAATATCAAAGAAGCTAAAAGAAGCAAAATGATAAAATGTTGATAAATTTTGATTGCTTAAGAGAGCGGTGACATCTTAATGGTTTCGAAGTCTTTAGTTGTTGAAAATGCATTCTACTTTTTCTAGAAATTGCACTTTATATATCTCTGGTAATTTTTAACTCCTACTATTACCATCATCACAATGATGGAAAACCGCGAAAAACTATCGTGTTTCCTAGTGATTTGGAACATTTAAAAAACGAATGGGCAGGTTGTCAACGTCGACGACTAGCTTCGACATTAAATTTAAGTTTCATATCTAGTTAACAGTTTAATATTTTCGATTGACATCGATTCAGTGTCTGGCATGATCCGTGACAAAAGCCACCTAAAAAAATTCCCTTAATTTCTTCGTCCATAATTTGCTTGCTTTTTGGAAATGGGACCCAGGTTCTTTTTTTCGCCAGTGACAATATTTTTGAAAGTCACTAATTGATGAGGATCATGTTATTCTAAATGACCTTCTAACTGACGTTGGCTGGTGTAAGCTTGTTGAAAAGAATAACATTCAGTGTGTACGATGAGTTCTTGCTTTAACACATTCGACACTTTTCTCCTTAATATTGTCAGTTTCTACAAGGCATGAACATCCTTATGAGTTTTTTTTTGTGATGAAAGATCTACCAACAATTCTTTCGTCAACACAACTTACCCCTGTTCAATTTAACGCAGCCAGGGTGGAATTTAATTTGTATACGTGTCCAAGAGTAAAGGATTTTCTGTTTTGGCTTTTTAAAAGGGTTTTAGAAACAAACCTTTGTTTTTATTAAAAAAATGTCTGCGCATTAGGTAAATAGCCTGTAGAGTACCCGAGCCCTAATAGGTAAAAGACCGGTACAACAGAACAGGCTTTATCGACCAATTACGAGCCAGACATACACGTCAGGCGTCTTCCATCCGAGTCCGCCACGCTGGCCACGCCGCTCATTATATACTGCTCCTCATTCGTGTCCTTCTCTGGTTGGCTGCTTATCTTCCTCGCATGCCATTGGAACACAGAGAGACACAAGATTGGCTGCGGCCAGGTGGTCCAATATGTCTGCGCCCCGATCCGACGCCACAAGCCTGCAT